ATATCATGGGTTGATGACTATTTGGGTCGTTTGCAAGATTTGACTGCTGCAAAATGTGCTACTATAAACATGGCTGTATTTATATCACTGCGGTATGATGCTTCCAATTCTTTTGAGAAGATACCAAAAAAGGGGAATAATTGGACCTCTATTCCTAGTTTTCCAAGGATTCTCCATCCTGATTAAACCCATAATAATTTTAATGCTACGTGAATTTTTTTTTTTTTTTGGTACTGGGGATTGAACTCACGACCTCGCGCTTGCAAGGCAGGTGCTTACACCGCTGAGCTAAATCCCCGGAGGTTGCTATATGAATTTTATATGAAGAAATGATTGGTAGGAAATAATTTTCTGCTGGGTCTAAATTATAATAATGACTAAATTTATGTGACAGCCACACCAGCCAGCTAGGCCCATGCCTCTCTAGAGCCCACTGGTGCTGGACCACGGTGGAAGGGTCCATCCCACATCTGCTTAGCCACTCGAAGCTAAGCAGGGAACTGGGAACCTGCCTGTATCTTTGCCTGAGTAGCAGTGACTCCAAAGAGCCAAGAGGTCAGCAGATGCCCGGGGTTTCTTCTGAGACTGCAGCAAAACCCTTTCTGAGGATGTGGGTGTCACTCGGGGGTTTGAGAGACCTTGGTGATGCTCGAAGTTCACCGGCCACTTAAGCCCAATATGCAGTTGTGTCCAGCACTGGTAGACTCGGTTGGGCCTTTGGATCTGTGGTCGTCCTGTTACGCTGTGAAGCAGAACATGGTCTGGGGCTGACCAGGGTTCTTGTCTATGCGTTTCCACAATGTGCTTCCTTTGCCCTCTCAGATCTGAATTAAACTAAAATTTGAAAACTCATAAAAAAAGAAAAACTTTGTTTCTTAGGTCACGTAGCTGCCCATGGAGCCTGTGGGCAAATGTTGACATCCGTCTTCAAATGGCACTGTCAGTCGTAAACTTGGCACATGCCAGTGTGTTATTGTTGGTGTCCACTTTGGAAAGCTAGTCCCAAGTTTTATTGTGTCTCCAGCCATTTTCAAGGTATCGTATGCTATGAAAAAGATGCAATACAGTGTATCTGTTTATACAATACATATTCACTGGGCCAAGCCCGAGAGGCCATGGCAAGAAATACAAAACATCAAAACATCATTCTTTTTTTGAGACAGGCTCTCACTATGCAGTTCAGGCTGGACTTGAGCTCACTTTGTAGCCCAGGTTGGTCTCAAACTTGCAACGATCCTCCTGCCTCAGCCTCCCAAGTGCTGGGATTACAGGTGTGAGCCACCACACCCGCCTCATCATTCTTATTTTTAAAGAATTTCTAGTCAGTTTAAACAGAGAAAACATAAGCTTGTATAAAAGAACCTATGAATAGCAAGAAAGATGGGATAAATGTACTTGGAGCCAGGGAGAGTATTTTGAGGGAAATAATGATTTCCCTCCGTGTGATTTTCACAGCAATCACTTCTTATTTAGACCACACACCCTATGTTTGACCACACCTCATATACATGCATACATATGCAAGAAGAGAATTTTCATATGCTTAAGGACCAAGGAAGTAATGCATATATAACTGCTGGTATTGGCAGTTGATGGTACACAATTCCAGTTCAGAGGAATTGGGAGGATAAAGTTCATAAATAAGTTACAAACTGGGCTTGGCATTTAAAAGAGACGGTAAACAAGGTTTGGACAGGAAGAGAGGAGGCCAAAGGCCACTCTAGATGAGAGAATACACACAGGCAAGGGCTCATAGGCAGAAATGAGAAAGGGGGGCTGTGAAATCCCTTTCAGATAAAATGGAATTCATGTTAATACTACTTAGAACAGCCATGCCTAGTGGTGTACACCTATAATCCCAGAACTCAGGAGGCTGAGGCAGGAGGATTGCTGTGAGCTTGAGCCCAGCTTGGACTACAAAATGGTTCAAGGCCAGCCTGAACTACACAGTGAGACCCTTTTTCAAAAGAAAGAAAGAATACTTAGATCTATATTAGGTAGCTATAAAATCATGCTTGTTGGTATCTTTGTCCATTTATATTGCTATCACAAAATCCTTGAGACTGGACAACATATTAATAAAAAGGCTCATGGAGCTCACAGTTCTGGAAGCTGTGAAGGCCAGCGTGATGCAGATGCAGGCTCAGTTTCTGGGGAGGGCTTCCTTATCACATTGTGAGACAGAACAAGCATGCCAGACAGAGCTCACCATTTTTATAACAAAGCCACTCTCTCATAACCCAGTAATCCACTAACCTGTGAGTGGATGACCCAGTCACCTACCCACAGCCCTCCTCCAGCTCGATGCCCCAAGCACTGAGTTCTAACACATGAGCTCTCAGGGATGCATTCAGGGCGGGAGACCTCAAACAGCAGCCCAGCAGGTCTGCGCCTCCTTTAGCTGACAACGAATCTCGAGGTTTAGGAAAGGAATATTATAAATGTATAATGTTTTCTGAGGATTTCTCCTTTAGACCAGGTGGCCTACAGGGTGAATCAGTGAGCCAAGGAAGGGAGAAGCTCATTCTCTCTACCTTTCCATAGTGCTCTAGTATTCTCATTATTAATACGACCCATGGGAATGTATCGTCCCCTCAGAATACTCCCCTGCCTCACACGCCCCCGTCCCGTTCTTCTTTCTCACCACAGTTTGAAGCAGCTCTGTGAGTCCTCTTTCATGAGTGTCTTTAGTTGCTCTGTCCTGGTCACCTTGATGTCCTAAACTGACTCAAAACAGGGTTGTTTTGACCTCGGGGAAGAGCCGGAAGTCACACAGTCCAGGAGGATCACTGCAAGCTCGAGGCCAGCCTGGGCTACGTGGTGAATTCGAGGCCAGCCTGAATTACATAGCCAGATCCTGTCTCAAAAACAAAACAAAATCAAACAAACAAACAAAACCCCACCTCTTTGGCCTATGGGAAATCAAATCAAAACAGAAATACCAGACTTTCTCAGCCAGGCATGGTGGTGCAAATCTGCAATCCAGCACTCTAGGAGGCTGAAGCAGGAGGATCACAAGTTTGAGCAAAGCCTGGGCAATTTAGACAGACCCTATATTTCCTTCCTCATGCAAAATAAGCTGAAGATGCACATCAGAGTCACAGCCCTGGGCTCGGTTCCCATGTAGCACAAAATGACTTTTAAGGTTTAGAAACAACGAAAGGACACAGTCACACCTCTGTCTCCACAAGTTCTAAATCCACAGGTTGAGCCATGGATCAGAAATATTAGCAGTAACTGCAGCTGCCCTGAACTCAGCTCTGTCCATCGCCGTCATCCCTGAGAGGATACTTCCACACAGCCATACTCCAGGAGGTTCTAGAAGGTTCCAGGGGTGAAGGAGGTGCATAGGAGAGTGCACGCAGGTTCTCTGCTAATGCTGCACCCTTCCAAGAGGGAGCCCAGGAACCCTACTCCCCAGGAACATGGGGAGAAGATAAATCCAAACATCCCAAGACAGTTCTGTTCATTGCTTCTATAAGAAAGAATTTACAACATTAGTGTCTTTGTTTGTTTGTTTTGTTGGTTTTTTTTTTTTTTTTTTTTTTTTGGTACTGAGGATCGAACTCACAACTGCGTGCTGGCACTTATGCCACTGAGCTAAATCCCAGGCCCCAAACATTAGTATCTTTATGTTTTCCTCTCTTGGTGTCTCTGGTCTCAGTTGCTGGAGGTGTGCCAATGATTATTATGTTTAAATAGTCACACATTGATTTTAGTTGCCAATACAGTTTGGTTTTCCTTAGAACCAACTAGTGATTTACAGGGCTTGCTGTGGTTTGATCACCACCCACAGCTCTGGGTTCACTCTGCACCTGGGCCCTGCATGGGTGCAGCCTTCATTCTTCCACAGGTGCCTTGTGGTTCCCACCTCACTTGAAGACTTAGAGTCGTGGTTTGCACACTTCCTTCCCCATTGCAGGTAACCCGCCCCACGCATCTCCCTGACCTCAGCTCGGACCTGATTCCCGGGGTGACACTGGCAGATCTCAGTCCGGCCAGGTGAGCGCCTTTGGTGTGTTTGGGTGCAGTGCTCCCCACTGTGTACGTGTGGGGTGCACAGCTTCGACTGTGGTCCTGTACCGGGCACACACAGTGATTTTCCTCATGCCTGGCTCCCTCCTTTGCTCCTGGCCAGAACTGCATGTGCCTTTCCTCAGGAGAGTGCTTTGCACCCAGTGATTGTGCCATAAATACTTGTCAGATGAGTGAGCTAAGCAGGCAGAGAACACCCTTGTGTTTTCCTCCTCGAAGTCGCAATATCAAGGTCCTGTTCCTCTGGTCTGTCCACCGGGACTGGGCCACTGAGGGAACTCTGAGACAATGGGACCTGTGATGCTCTAAGAGGAGCGAGAGCCCTGTGCTGAGCTCCATTCCGGTCTGCAAAGTTCACATTTGGAGCCTGGATAGGGGAGGGCAGCTGCCGAGCTAGCACCTGGGGGAGCGCCATGGGGAGCACGTGGGGTGGGTGCTGTGCTTGCCCGGCTGCCTTGGTATGCAGGAATAACACTGGGTCCTCTTTCCCCGGACAAGTTAGTTTTCAGAAACGCAGCAGGTTGGGAAGCTAGTGGGACATGCAGCTTGCTGCCTGCGAGAATGTCAGCTCATAGATTTAACCGGTAGGACCCGGGGCTTCGTGAGGCAGCGTCACCCCTCCTTGATACTGGGGATGAGATACACTCAGACTGTTTGGCTCAGGGATCGCCTGCGTATAGAACCTCAAGATTCTGTGTTTTCTTCCTGTGTTTTTGCTCAGCTATTTCATGGTAAATGAAGGGGAATAACTTGGTATGGCTCTTTGGGAGAATTTCAAGGTGCTGCTTGCCCTCTTCTGAGGCTTGAGCCTCAGAAGAACAAATTTCTTTCATTTTCTCTAATTTGGATGAAAACCTGCTTTAGTAAAGAGTGTTTATACTACACATATATCTGATTTGACGATTCCAAGTTACACCCCAACCACCCACTTCTGAAGAGTTTTTTTTAAAGTATCAGAAGCCTGCAATTGTGTAACATGTAAATCTCTCCTGGACCAGGCCCGCTGTCATTGCGGTTTGGCAACACCAGCAGCACATGTCTTCTCTCATCTCCTGGAAGAGAAAAAGAGCCAACAAAGAAAAAAATACCTGGAGCATAAAGGTAATGATTAATCTATCGGGCATGCAAAGGACCATTCTGAAGATTTCAGGGTAGAGCTCATTAATCCAAATAAATAGCAACAAGCAGGGGATGACGGCTTCTCTGGAAGAAGATTAAGTCTCTGCTTTTGTTTGGACAGCGTTCGGGCAGTCGGAGGGGCCCCTGGACTTCTCCGGGAATCCACGCAGAGCTGTCCGCGAGTTCCGGTGTCCATGTGCCCGTGAGGGAGAGGCCCCGAGCCAGCTCTGGGGGAGCATCACCAGAGCAGGAGCCCCACCATGCCGGCCAACACGGCAGAGCCGGGCAAGGGCTTCAAGCACAGACTGGCCTTAAAGAGCAGCTTGGCCAGGGAGACCATGTCGGAGTTCCTGGGCACCTTCATCATGATCGTGAGTACTTTTTCTGCCTTGCTGAGTTCCGACCCACCTGTGCCTCCTTCGCTGCCAAGCTGGGGGTGTGGAGTGTGGTCTGCGCTGGTTTCCTTTGAACTGGTTATCAGGTCCATATCCTCCTGGAAGCGGCACATTGCTGGGCTGCATAGTGGCCGTAGCAACGGGTTTTGCTGTTTCCTCGATGCTGGTATCTAAGACAGGTGGGGAGGGAAGAGGAGTGCTGGGCTTCTTCTCACTGCAGGGAGCCACTTCCCCCAGATCTCAGATCGTTTTGTGATGAGGAGGTTAGTTGCTGGAAACTTTTCTCAGTGAGTAGTTGATTTGTACCCTGCTTGCTTCCCACAAACACGGAGATGGCTCAGGCGTCTGAAAAAGTACTGACAGTCAGTAAGGGCTGGGCAGCGGGGCTAGAAAGATTCGTCAGGTCGTGGGGCTTTGCAATCAGTCGGGAATCGTGTCACCCACCGCTCTGGACATGGGCTACTCTAGCTTTGGTTTTGGTCTTTTCCCCCCTTTAGCTCAGGCAGATGTCTAGAGATCCTGAAACAGACAGTTACAAGGACTGGTGGATGTAAGAGAGGGGCCGATTCTAAGAACATCCCGAGGGTTTGTCCCGAGACCCACTCAGCCAGAAACAACGGCCAGCCGAGTTTGCTTGGTCAGTGTAGGTGTCACACTTTCCTCCCCTGCCTTGCCGGGGCCTTCTTTGGAGCCCAGAGTTTTACCTGCAGTCAGAGCCCTTGTGAAATAGAAAATTGGCAACTATTGATGTTAACTTAAAAAAAACACACTCAAAGATTCCCCACTCCTGCTCTGAGTTGTTTCATGTTTCGTGTTTCTAGACAACTGCCCCCAAATTTTGCACATTAAAAATCATTTTCCTGGAATTATAGGCATGGTGGTACAGGCCTATAATCCCAGCACTCTGGAGGCTGAGGCAGGAGAACTCTTGCAAGTTTAAGACCAGCCTAGGCTCCAAAGTGAGCTCAAGACCAGCCTGAACTGCACAGAGAGACGTTGTCTCAGGGAAGAAAAAAAAAAAGCTAGGATAGAAGAAAGGAGAAAAGGAAGAAAGAAAAAGATTGTATGTATATAGGTATATACACATATATAAATATATATATAAGATAGATAAGTATACTACTAGTCTCTGTTAGTTCATCAAAAAGAACAGTTTGTGCTTTCACTGTTTGAGCACTTTTTATGCCTTTTTATGCCTTGAAACCTGAACAGCTAGTTCTAAGATAACAATATGCAGTATATTAACTAGTATTAATTTCCTACTGTTTTTTTAAAATTTCAGCATCATTTCTTTTTTTTCCATTTTGCTTTTTAAAATAAAAAAAAATTAAAAATTCTTTGCCTTGACTACATAGATACTAAGGCAGAAGAATGAGCATAGAATGTGTCAGTTAAGCCAAGATTTAGAAATGAACCTGAACTCAAAACTTGAACCAAAATAACCAGCGGAGTATCGTAATTTTGTAATCTCAGACTCTTAGGAGCCTGTCACTCAAGAATGGGGGAAAGGTGGATTTTAGGTGGCCTCCAGAGTTCGTCACTTCTCCTGGCAAGGTGCTGGCTATGCTCAGAATTTAGGGATGGGGAGTTGGGCAGAAAAGAGGAAACACAAGTGGGTGATTTCTCTCATTCCCATTCACTGTTTCCTGGAAAATCGCTCTGGATGAGACAGACCCTCTTGTGTTATGATGTTTGACAATCTGGCCCCAAAGAAGATAGTAAGTTGTTACCACAGACTTATCTCAGCCCTGCAGGACCTGAGATAAGAAAAATGAAGCAAATTCTATTACATTTATGCAGAAAGCAACAAGGAAGAAGTGAACTAAACATCCTCCTTTCGCAACTGGAGAACTTAGCCCCTCCTATGTCTAAATGAGAACCTCTTTCATCACCCCATTCTTTTGAAATTGAGAAGGCGGAAGTCACTTCTAAGTGCTCGACTCAATCCACGAGCTGTGTGTTTCCCTTCCCCAGTCTGATCCGCTGGGACCCAGCCCTGGGTTTTCACCACGGTTTCTGGCTTGTGACTCCTTCCCTATGACAGGCTGTAGAACCTAGAATTCTCTTCCTCCAGGAGCTGTCTGCACCTTTCCATTTTCAAACCGTTTATCAAGGAATTCGTGGCCTGCCTTGCTGGAATACAGCTTACTGAGATGATTTTCCAGTGAACTAGAACCAGGGGCACCATGGTGGGCTTTTGCATTCTCTCTTCTCCTTCTGATTCCCCCTACCCAAACTCTGAAAGCAAGCAGGTCATCAGACCCTCCTCAGAAGGTGTCTTCCCCACCTGCGGAGGGAGGACTGCTCCCCAGAGAGGCTGGGGGCCTCGGAACAGATGGCCTTGCAGGATTTCCCACCCAGTCAGTGCCTGTGTTTGTTTTTGGTGCTGGGGATGGAACACAGGACACTATAAATGCTGTGATCAAACCACCACTGAACTACAGCTACAGCCTCTCCCCGGCTTTTGGCACCAGCTAGAGTCTAGTCATTCAGGCTTGGGTCATGTCTATGCAATGGATCTGCATCTACACTCAAAGCCAGCAGAATGTGTGTAGGGACCCGGAGGGCAGTATATTCTACACGGCACGGCAGTGCATCCAACACACACACACACACACACACACACACACCTTACCCTTTGCATCTTTTTTCTTCTCCATCATATTATACTAATAATACTGTACTAATAAGCCTGTAAAACTGAGCAGTATTTCTCTGAGTTCTGTGAGCCACACAAGCAAATTAATCCAATACAAGAGGAGGCCTTGGGAACCTCGAGTTGCAGCTGGTCTGTCAGCACCAGTAAGACAGCCTGCGCCCAGCAACTGCAGTTGAAGGGTCTCAGGACTCAGTCCTCGACCAGTGGGAGCTGGCTGCGTCTCCAGGGAGAAGTTGTCCAAATGGGATTGATCTGGCGGGACATCTACCAGGCATCCACTGCAGAGCAGATGCAGGGGGAACCCCACTGCTGGGATCACGGGGGTCTTCGTGTTGATCTTGCTCATGTGGGAGTAGGAGAAAAGTTTATCTTCCTAGTGTTCAAGGTGGGCTCTCAAAATACAAAGCTTAGCACTCTGTTGAAAAATTAACGTTTGTATCTTCTGGCCAAAGTACATGACAAATGGATTAATTCCTGTTTATGCTATGTATTTATATGTGTATTTTCTAAGAGCAACCCCATGAAATCTGTCCTTGTGATTATAATCTTCAGTTTTACTGAGGCCTGTGGAAAAGTGTAAACAAGGAATCCACACATGCATAATACTATTTTACCCAATCTGTGTGGTTTTGCTCAGACATCATCCAAATCAGTTGTTTCCGATTTGTTAGAAAAGGTGTGTTTTGCGTTGCTTTTCCTACTCAGAATCTTTGCATGGCCATCAGGCTTGGGGAAAAGGGACACTGGAAAGATGGCCAAGGACAAACAGGATGCGTGGGTCCTCCAAATTTGCTCGATTTGTCTCTACCCCACCCTGGGAGTCTGAAGTCACTTTTCTCCCCTTCTCAAAATCTCAGACCCCTCACACCAGGATGGAAACAGCAGACAAGGGTTGCCCATGGCAACCCTGAGGGAAGGGCAGGCCCCGAAAAGCCCTCCCCAAACTCTGAGAAAGACCATCAGTAATGCAGTTGTAGCTGACTGGTCGATCGCCTTTACTCTGTCAGGGGGCAGCTGCGCAGTGCAACTCCCTTCTCACAGGGAAGGTTTACGCTGCAAGAAGAGGGAGCGTGTTGAGTGCCCTACACATATTAGGCTTGGGCCTTACGTAGTCAGTGTTATTACCAATCAATGATGGTATTATGATGTCATTAATAATGACAAGGACTTAGCTGTTTTATTTTCACCTGTAAATAACTGGGGTGGGGGGGTGTGAGGGCTCAGAGAGATAAAGGAACCATCAAGGCAAGACATCAGCCTGCATTTCTGTTTCAATCTGGAGCCGCCTCCTCCACACCGGTCCCACCCTGCGGAATCCATGGCTTGGGTGTTTGGGTAGATTTTGCCAGCTTGTAGGAAATGCTCCCTTAAAATATGCTCCCTTCCCCTTCCCAGTGCCTCTCCCTCCTCCACCTGGGAGCCTAGTATTCGAAAACAGCTGTTTTGTCTTCTCCTGGGCACCTTAAGGCGCCTTTCCCAAGCTTGGCACCTATGCACATGTGGACCCATAAAAGCACAGCATACAGATCTCTTCCCTGGGCTCAACTTCCCCTAATCCCTAGTCAGTTCAAGAGATTTTTGGAGGGGCCGAGTTCACTCTTTGTTACTCTGTGTACCGGCTTCTCTCTCCAGTCTTTTCAGGACCCTAATACAGGTTTATCTTGTTGAAGACACCGAAGTGACCCCAGCAGGCTTCCTGATTTCCTCCTGCGCTGGAAGGGCAGTTTCTGGGGCGGAGCTTCTGAATAGGGGACATCTCACAGAGTGGAAAGGCCCTAAATCAGTGGTGGACCTATGGCTTGCCGGCCACTGCAGGCTGTGTGTGTCACTAAAACTCTAAAAGGTTCACTGTCACTACCCTAAATTCTTTCCTTATTCTGTCAAGTCTCATAATTCTATTTTGAAATGATTCTCAGGCAGACATGAAAGACATGCCAGCTCTAGAGCTAAAATCACTCTTACAAAGTGTATTCTGATCTTCCATATTGGGGTGCTTTTGAACAAAAGAATACATGGTCTGCATTGAGAATGACATTGGGAAGTCCTTCAAATAAGCCAGACTCAAGGAGATAGAGACTTTGTGGGCCGCAGATTTGCTCGATGTGATTCAGAATAACCAGGACCGTGATGGAAAGGCCCTGGCGTGTTTGACCCTGTTTGTTAGTGGAGATGCTGAGCTCCAGGCTGATGCAATTACAAGTCCGTGACTCACCACTACGCCCAGCTGACTGGCCTCAGGCTCTTGGGCCTCCTCCACCCACTAAACCCTGTTTTCCTGTATGTCCCTCCTGGAAGAGAGCGCCTAGAAAATAATCAG